TACTTTTACTTTACGTTTTTAAGTTTTAAATTAACTTAGTACTAACGTAACTACAACTAGTTAGTTCTTCTTACTATAAAAGTAAAATAAGTACGTAGTATATATATATATATATATATATATATATATATACATTCACAAGCAATAGTTAGATAATAGTATGATGGTTTAAATGAATTTTTATAAAGACTTAGTGGACCTTATAAGACTATGTGTTTTTTTTTAAAAAAAAAATCATATTCATAGAGTTAGGTTTTTCACAAATCATCCATTTTAAAATACATGCTTAGCCTTCATAAATCATTTTATCGCATTCACATTTAATTTCCTACCAAGTCAAATTCATGGTTACAAAAACAAATCATAAATACCATCTTATAATTTTTATCCAAATAAAGCATGACTAAAGAACGTCTATTAAAGTCTTGACAAAATATTTCATTTTTGGCAAATATGAAGACACTATCAAGAGATCATCATCACATGCAACACATCATATTATAGACATTATTGGGAGGATAGTCACTACGACGAAGTTCCACTAGAACACTCACTTCGTGCTTACAGATTTGAATGAGCCACACCCATCTCTCGTGTTCCATCCTTAGGGCTCAAAGCATTGATCAAATCACATCTCCATGTGTATTACTACCTTAAGTCATTCATACTCTAGCACAATGAGGCACTAAAACACAGGGTATTCAAAAATTAGTTTTTTCAAATTTGTCAACATGTGTCACTTGATGTCCATACACTCCATACATATTCATAAAACAATTAGCCAAAATATAACCAAAGCATATAAAATAAAAAGATATTGAGTCATCTTTCTTTATATGACCTTATCATATAATGTGAGATAAATTTCATACCTCAAAACTATGTAATGTGGTACTTGAGCTTTCTTGATTCAATGTTTTTATTTGTTTGACAAGCTTTTGTGATCTTGGAAGAGTACACAACTGATGGAGAATATATTGGTCATAGGTTTCACATTTCATAAAATGTCCAGCTTTTTGACACTTGGATTATCCCTATCTCACACCGTGAAGAAATAATCTTCTTCATCCCATGATTTCAAATATCATAATTTCAATTATTCTACTCATCTTTAGCGTTCTATGCTACCACCAAGTCTCTCTATATATCCCTTCATTTCGAAGAATCTAATATGCTTTTATAGGTATTGTATTTTTTCTTCTTTATGTTATTCCCAAATCGAACATTCTTCATATAGATTGTCTTATCTTGCCAACTATGCATTACATCTCTCCGAAGTTGTACTATAATAAATCATACTCATGACACACTATAAAACCTTTTAAAATGAGCCTTAAAAAAAAAAGTATCCATAATTAGAAATCCAAATGTGTACCTTAACATGTCACATCTTTTAATTTACCACAGCATAGAACATGAACATCCCACAATAAAAATATGATATCTCTTAATTTTTTGATAAAGAGTTTCTCTCCCAATATTTTGAGTACTGAAATAGATTAAAAAAATATAAAAAAGTGCTCAGTTCGATCCCTAAATCACACTATTTAGTGAGTCTATCTTTTAGTGACTTTTACATCATAATGCAACTTTTTTCATCAGAAAATCAGGTTGAGCATCTCTCAATAAAAAATTATTTATCTCAAGCCTTAGAGAATTTCTTCTTGAAATCTCTTGTATTAAAAACTAGACTCAAAACCAAATCATAACATCATGGTGTGAAGCCCAAATAATATTTTTCTTCTGAGAAATAAATAAGATGACATACACATCACAAAATATATCATATTGTAGAATTCCAGGATGAATATTGTCTAATAAAACTGTATTTTCTCTTTATCCTCATGGAGTTTTCCTTTGAAATAAATTTTGTTTAAAAGTAGACAAATAATGGTAGCACATAGATTTCCACAAGCCTCATATGACTTTGTTAAGTATGCTTGATAAATATAGATATTCATATATCAATGAAGAACATACCAAATTACAGAAAATTTAAGATGACCTTTCTTCAATCCAAAATTTTTATTATTCTCTTCCCATAGATATTTCTCTTTAAAATAATTTTTTTTAGAAAATAGACTCAGAATAGAAGTTAAAAATTTGTTGTGGACCATAAAACATTTTGTTAAGTATATAAATAAAATCATGACTTCCAAGTCATAGAAATAGTTTTCGTTGCAAAAAACAATACTTCCGCATCCTTCAATAAATTGGTCATATCTTTCAAACCACAAGGACTTTCTTGATGAAACCTTTTTTTTGTTTGAAAGTAGACTCAATTTTATAAGTCACAGTCTAATTTTAACTAGGAAAAAAAATCATATGGTTAGTAAGAAAAATCACGGAACTCAATGGACAGTTTCTGGATTTTTCAGGGTCAAAACTGACACCCTTCATTATTGAGTTTATAACTCTAAATTCCCATAGGATCTCCAACTGAAATTTTATAGGTAGATCATACTCTTAAAGATGCAAAATATCACTACAATATGTAATAGAAACATACCTCATTATATTTTTCATATCACTACGTAGCTCATAATACTCATTATGCAGAGTGTCTTTTCAGTATTAGAATATTTCAATAATACTTAACTGTGGGTGTATTTCTTGATCACAAAGGTCATTAGCTTTCTTATAATTCATTCTCAAGCTTGATATAAACTTAATAAAGAGAAAAGACAACTAATGACATAATGTATCAATAGCTCTGGTACCAATGAAAGAAAGACCTATGTGATCTTTTACAGGGGAATAATATATATATATATATATTATTTATTTTTATTTTTTTTAATATCACCCCTTTTGTTTTGGCAAAAAATCACTTACAAGTGGTCTTATTACAATAACATATACTTCAAAATAAAATCAACATGGCAATAAAACCAAGATCTTAAAACTTGATGCCATTCAAATAACTATGCACTATGCTGGAGAATAAAAAAAAAAAAGATTGCAAGAAATAAAAGAGAAGAATGTCGGAGATTACCTCAACCGAGCTTATTACACCCCACACCGAGTCACCACTATCTGATGGTATGGGATCGACTATCTTGCGTCAATCTCAAACTGGAAAAGCAAGTTTAGGCCAAGCCACACTAATAGAACATGAATCTACTTGATCACAAACTCAAACCTTAAGTGAATTCCTTTAGCAACTTAGTTTGAGAGAGATGGATTCTCTTTTTGCTAACCCTAAAAACCCTTAGCCATAAATTCATAGTTGAGAGATGGGAGAGAGAAGAACTCCATAGCCTAAGCCCTTAGCCCATTTTCACAATGTGGGAGAGAGAGAGATCAAACATGAGAGAGATAAAAAGATAAGGTGTGCAAAGATTTTAGGTAGAGACAATCCATCTTTTATGGACTTGAACAAGATTAGGGTTTCTTAGGGTTTTCCTTAGCTTGCATCTTCTTGTGAGATAGACCGTCAATCAAGGGTAACTTGTGGGGTGAGAGATTTGAGCCATCCATTCCATAGATGGGTCATTAATATTATCGAATGTGCATGAACCATTATCCTCCTTTCCTAAATCATTTTCTCATCAATAGAAAATAAGTTAAATTAATTTTAATTAACTATTATGGATTCCATAAAAAAGCACATCTCTACACATATTTTCTATAAAATCTATCAAAGATATGTTAAGTCAATATCTACTTCCATATTAAGTCAATATATAGTCAATACATACTCAATCCATAATTTGACCACATGTCACAATTTAAAGTTACCAAAGCATAAGGTCACATGGACCATAAAACAAAACTTTCCATAAAATAGAAAGTAATAAGAGGTGGGTCGTGCCACCCATGGGAGGCACTTGTAGGCCCCACCTTCTAGAAATATGGTGGGCCCATGTGCACAATGGGCCCCCATGATTATCTTTTTATGCATTTAAAATTAATAAAATAATTTATAGTGAATATTAAAACATTGTAAAATCAATATATTTAATTTTATAAATCCAAAATTTGTAAATAAAATATCCAAAGATTCATAAAAATTTTATTAATAATTGTAAAATAATCATTGTCATAAAACAAATACAATTAAATTAATTTGATCGAAAATGGATCTAAATGGTTGAGGAATTGAATCAACAGTCATAGGGCACTCCACCTTCAACTATGGATTATGGACCACACTTGTTTATTAGGCCGACCCATTGTTTTTCATGACCCACAATCCAAACAGGAGTTCATTAGTGGGTCACCAAAGTCTGATCGATGAGCTAAGGGGTGACAATCACAGTATATGAGTTACAGGTGTTCCCCTAGATATGAGTCCAGGTCACCAAGACCTGATGCGACCACAGCTCTATGCTGCATAGGGAGATCTCTCGTACGTGCATACGCTTCACCCTAAAAGGTGGATTTCTGGCTTTTCCGAATGATCTATCGATATGCATACCGTGTGATGGCACATGGATGAGGTTTTGGCCCCTGTCTTTGTAGGCCATCATCACACACAAGGGTCACACAGTCCCTCGACTTACTCATTCGGGTATGTTCTCCGACCTCATCAAAGGCTAACCCATAAACCCTCATCGGTTTGTTCTTTATGCCTAGGAACATGAGTTTTTCCCAACAGACTGACCTAGATCTTCAAGCACAGTCTGATATCCATAAACATCGTTTGGATGATATGGTTCACTAAGGACCACACTCCCACTGAGTTCATATTCCACTATATCATTCCATTTTACAAGCACTCACAAGGCCTTTAAAGGCTACATATACCCAACAGAGATGCTTGTAAGATAATTGAAGGCATGTGGAAAGTAGGTGAAGTTAGTGATGAGGTCCCTTTTAACATCGGCAATAATCTTCCAAGATTCTACAAAGGCGGAGATGTTATTAAACTTGGAGGATCCAACGATACAAAGGGCTTACTATGATCAAGAGATGAAATGCCTCCAATAGATATCTGATTGACTATGTTTAATTTTAACATCAAAGATGATTATGTTTAATTTTAACTCCAAAGACTGCATCTTTCATGTGTATGTTTATGGTTTATGTCATTTTAATATTGAAGGTTACTTCATGGTTTGCTTTGTGGATGATGATTTCTTTCATTTGTATTTTTATGATGGTTTGCTATGTGGATGACTGCTTCTTTCATTTATATGATGGTTTGCTTTGTGGATGATGGCTTCTTTCATTTATATGATGGTTTGCTTTATGGATGATGAAAGAGGTGGCTTCTTTCATTTATATGTGGATGGCTTCTTATTTTATTGTCAAAGAGTACTTCATGGTTTGCTTATACAGCGTGTTGCATTGCATATTGGTATAAAGTAAGAAGGAGAGAGAGATGCAGCTGCACTGTGTGAATATAGAGAAGAGAGAGAGAGAGAGATGGCAGAAACCCTACTTTTTGAATCCCACTTGAGAATTCACAGCCATTTTTTCTTGTTTATGTTATTTCAGGTCATGGAGCAGTTTTTTTTGGCAAATTTTGGAAGAGGAGATGGCAACAACCAGGAATGTAGTGCCCCTAATCAGAGACAATGGATTGTTTTATGGTCTTGGCGATGTTATTTCTATTATTCATTGACTCAGTTGTTTTATTTTGTGACCTCACGATTTCTTCCATGGCCAATTATTCTGTGTTTGTACCATATTTTTACAGAATCTATGTTTGATTTTTTTAGTAAACAATGTTTGTGTTCTTTTTATTCGTTTCATGTCTCATAATAGAGGCATGACTGTTAGGATTTATCTTTTATTATGTACGTAAGGGTTATTTTCTTCCTCTGCCACTTGTTCTAACCTGAAATGGGTTTAAATATTTTTAATATTTTTTAGCTCGCCACCAATGTTCTTAGATTGACTTTCTTTTTTAGCTGTATTGTTTTTATTTTGTGGTCTCAACAGTTCTTCCATGGCCTATTGTTCTTTGTTTCATATTTTTATAGAATCTATGTCTATTTTTTGTCGGAAGTCAACGTTTGTGTTCTTTTTATTCTTTTCATTCCTATAGACCTTAAAACACAAGCATGGATGTTAGGCTTTATCTATTATTCTAGGTGTGAGGGTTACTTTCTTCCTCTAAAAAAAATGTACCTTTCTACCAAATGGCTATTGGGCTTTATCTATTATTCACTTGGATTTTTTATTTATGGTCTTAAAAACATTGCAAATTTGCAATCAACTTGAAATTCACGCTCATTGCTGCATTGTTCTTGCAGGACTATTTTAAGTCTTGGAAAGCATTATATGCATTATTTCTAGTGTATGAGTGAAATAGAATGGTAGATATTGATTGTAAAGGTCTATAGATAAATATAGGTATAAATTAGGAAGGTCCAATGTAATATATTAGTGATCATTGTAGGTCTTGTTTCTTCAGGGGCTATTTGATAGTGGAATTTGTGGATCCCCGACAGCGTCTGTTGGTGGTAATATTATGTGCTGCATATACAGCGTGTTGCATTGCATATTGGTATATCACTACCTAAATGAGGAGGGACGTGTTCATACTTCAATTTTTACTGGGGCAAATTATATCCAATACTTGTTGTCAGAGTACCCTCGTAATGGAGAAAAGTGCTTTTATCAGTCTATGCATTTGTTAAAGGAGATGACAAACATTACAGATACAAGCTATTTGGTAGTTGATGAACAAGTAGCCATATTTTTAAGCACTATCACACACGATCAGCGGAATATGGTGGTCCAGAAATGGTTTCAACATTCGGGGCAAACCATAAGTTACTTCTTCAGTTTTACAAGCGATATTAGAATTGGAACCCTTGTTCCTGCAACCACCAATCAATGAAATACTTGTCCACATTGTTGGTGATACACAACGCTTTTACCCATATTTCAAGGTATGCGAGTGTCAAGTATTCCACATTGTCGTTCTCACATCCATTGAGAACTAATATATAATGGTGATTTGTTCGTCTTAATAGGATTGTGTCAGAGCTATTGATGGTACTCATATCCCTGCTCGAGTTCGTAATCGATTACATAATTGTTTGTGAAACAGAAAAGGTTTTCTAAGCCAGAATGTTATGGCTGCAGTTAATTTCGACATGTACTCCCGTTATGCACTTGTAGGTTGGGAAGGATCCGCATCATATTCTAAAGTTCTATATGATGCAATTAGTAATGGACGCAGTAGACTTGCAGTGCATGAGGGTAACTCCATTACATTATTTTTCATTGCTTCGGTTTGTACAATATTTGGTGATGTAATATTTGGTTGTATAATTAACTCAATGCACAAACCTGGTACAGGAAAATATCACCTTGTAGATGGTGGCTATCCTACGATGTGTTGTTTCATAGGACCATACCAAAGAGTCCGTTACCCTAAACAAATTTACTTGAAGCCCATGAGCTCCTCAAAATCACATGGAGTTATTCAAGAAGTGGCATTCGATGCTTAGAAATGTGGTGGAGAGGACATTTGGGCTTTGGAAAGCCAGATTTCCCGTACTCATGAATCAAATGCAGTATCATAGACGAGCACATGTTGATGTAGTTGTTGAATGTGCAATATTGCACAACTACATCATGATGACATGAGGAGCCGATAATAGACGAGAGCTGCATTTTAGAAGGAGCGTTGGGAGTGAACTGGTAATTGACGAAGATGATGGTTTCTCGCAATTGCCTCAGGGGTAAGCTGATCATGATGATGGTGTCAGTCTGCAAGATGCCATGGCGACACAGTTGTGGTAGTCCTACTTAAGTCACTAGAAGTTATTTCGCCTATTTATTATGTTGAAATAACATAATATAGCTTTTTCGCACATGTTGATGTAGTTGTTGAATGTGCAATATTGCACAACTACATCATGATGACACGAGGAGCCGATAATAGAATAGATGTGTTTTAGAAGGAGCGTTGGGAGTGAACTGGTAATTGACCCAGATGATGGTTTCACGCAATTGACTCAGGGATAAGCTGATCATGATGATGGTGTCAGTCTGCGAGATGCCATGGCGACACAATTGTGGGAGTCCTACTTAAGTCGCTAGAAGTTATTTCGCCCATTTATTATGTTGAAATAGCACAATATAGCTTTTTCTTGCAAACTATATTTGTGTTAATCTGGCCTTGTGTTGAAAGAATTCAACAGGGTGCTTGATTTTATTGATTGTGATTGCATCATACTTTATATGTATAATTATTTATATACATATCGACCCAAGATGCAATCATACTTTATATGTATAATTATTTATATACATATCGACCCAAGATGTCTGGCTATTTTTTTCAATTATATTTGTGACGTCTACCTACAGGGTGATTGATTTTATTGATTGTGATTGCACCATTGGGAGGACTTCCTTGTACTACTTGGGATGTATGGCTATTTTCTTGGCCATTTGATTATTTGTCAAAATTGATAGAAAGGTTTTTTGGTCTTTGAAATTTGAAAATTTATATTCTTCTATTATATGCAAAGATTGTTGAAATTTATGTTCTTCTATTATATTGATCAAAATACCATTGTTTAATTTGATCTTGGATTTGTCTGAATTATTGTGAATTTGGTGGTTCAAGTTTTATTCTGTCATTATTTGTATTGTAATTTATTTGAGAATGAAATAGGTATGTCGACAGTATCTACAAATATTAGGGGCTTCCCACCACGTTTGTGTCCTCACGGTGATGTTCCTTGTGCTATATATATATATATATATATACATATATATATATATATAGTA